AAAACTGGGTGTCCAGATTCCCTAATTCTCTTCCTCTGCTTCCTGTAAGGGGCTGCCCTGAGGAGCTGCTCCAGCTGCTGGGGATGGAGGGATTTTGGGGTTTTGGGGTTTTGGGGAAGGATGGATGGATGTGGTGTGGGCTGGGGGATCCCTGGGGCTCCGGCAGCCTCTGCTGGAAATCATCCCCTGGGTGCTCCCTCAGGTGAGGTCTCGGCTCACACCTTGGCCTTTGCAGAGCTGCTGCCACACGGGGATGGTCCTGAGCAGGATTTACTGGTCTGGGGGAGCCTGGGGCGGGCTGTGTCTCCTTTTCCATGGATTTCATTCCCACAGGTGGGTGAGGCAGCAGAGCGAGCTGGCCCGGCAGGCCCAGGACCTGGAGCAGGGACCCAAACTGGATCTGGGCTTCAAGGAGGGACAAACCATCAAACTCAACATCGCTGTGAGGGCCTCTCCCAGCTGATCCCAGCTCTTCTTTTGCGTGGCACAAGGAAGAAACCTCCCTAAAATCCCTGAGCCTGGGCTCAGGGCAGAGCCCGTGGGGATAATGCTGCCTGCAGGGATTTGCATGGGGTTGTGGTGCAATCAATTCCTGCTGCCAAAACCAGGTCTGTGGGATCTGGGGTAAAACCCACCCCAGATTTGCTGTGACCCCTTTGGATGCACCAGCAGTGGGATGTCGCAGTGCTGGAGGATTTTATTCCCAAATTAAAACAATTTGGCTTCCAGGGTTTTCACGCTCCGGCTCTGGATTTAAATGAGATCCCACCCAAACTTCCTGCTCTCCTTTCAGAACATGAAGAAAAAAGAAGGAGGGACAGGGAGCTCCAGGCCACGTCCTGCAGGGCTTGGGGGCCTGAGCTTGCTCCCACCACCCCCCGGAGGAAAATCCAGCTCCGGGGAGCGCCCAGCCCCGCTCTCCACGCCTGCCCAGCTCCCGGGAACGCCCATCACAGGTCTGTGCTCTCACAGAGCTCCTGAGGGGCTGCTTCCTCCATCAAAGCAGGGAACCTGGGAATGAGAGTGGGAAATCACTCCTGCTGTTCTGTTTTCTCTCTTCCCGACTTTCTGACAGACTCCCTGTTGTCCTGGCCTCAGCCCACTGCTGCTCCTGCTGCTGATGTCTGGGGAGACTTTGCCCAAGCTTCAGGGTGAGCAGGACAGGGATTTGGGGGGGACGTGGATGCCCCAAAACCTCCTGGTTTTGCTGGAAAACCCCACTGGGGTGGGGGCTCTGCTCCATCCAGTCCCAACTTCGGGGTTCAGAAGCAGCTCTGTCTCTGCCTCTGTGCTGCCAAGCCCCTGAGTTTGGGCCCGTGGGCACTTCTTGCTCTGCTGCTCCAGGAGAGTTTTGGGGTGCTCCTGAATGACCCATTTGCAGCCCAGTTTCCTCCCTGGGTGCCTTTACCATCTCTAAACACCCTTTTCCCCCTGTTTTTCCCTCTCTCCAGGTCGTCTTCCAACCAGGCTCAGGGGAACACTGGCTGGGTTCAGTTCTGATCCTGGCCTTGATCCACCTTTCCCCACGTGGGTGCTGGGATCCTCAGGATTCTGTGGGACCAAAGAAGCAGCTCAGGACACCTCACTCCTGCCCTTAAACCCACCTGCCTCGAAATGCTGGAATAAGTGCTGGAAAGAAACAACCACGTGCCTTAAAACACTCCACATCCAGGGCCTGCATCGTGGGAGACCTCGGAGGCTTCTCCTTTGGGAAAAACCATCAGGTCCATCCCTCTCCTTGATAAGGAGGGAGAGCTTGGAGCCTCCTCAGATTCCTCTGCCTTCTGCTCGTGCTTTTGGGCTGGATCAGTCCTTCCCTCGGCGAGGAGCATCCTCCTGGAGCCATCCCACCTCCCAGATCCTCTCAAACCTTTCCCTGCCAGGATGCCAAGCACCGCCTGGATTTTTTTCTGAGCACTTAACTGGGATGTGGGGAGCCTGATCATGATGTTTCCATGCTGAAATTCCTCATTTCTTACTCTGGGAAGTTTGTTTTACTCCTCCTCTGTTCTGAAGACACGATTTTTTACTCACTTCCATGGACATTTTATTAAGGACAGAATGGAGTCAGGCTCTTAGACAGAGCTGGGGTTAAGACTCCTCTTGAAACAAATAAATATTTTCTTACCTATTTATATTAAGGCTTTTCCAAGTACAAAATCCCACTTATTTTTATCTGACACTTTGGATTTTCCTTTCCATTTCCAACTGGATGATGGGCATTTTGCTTTCAGAGCTTTCCCCTGGGCCTGGCAGCAAACTCAGGTGAGAATGTAACGCTTCCAAGTGAACAATAAATCGGTTTTGATGCCAGACTGGATTTTTTTTTCCTCCCCTGGGCTGGCTGGGAGAAGCCAGGATGAGCTTTGGTGATTCCCATTCCTTGCCAGTGCCGGGGGAATGGGATTGGACACGGAGCACAACAGAACCTGTTGCTTAGCAGTGGTTTCTGTTGGGAAGGACAGCAGGAGGCGAAGGTAAGAGAGGAAATGAGGAGAAAAGGAGGGGTTTTGGGACACAAGTACTGGGAGGGGGAGGAATCGGAGGCAGCTCCCGCCTGGCTGGAGGCATCCAAGACGCCGTAAATCCCCAATCCTATCTGCCTGCGCCTCAGCCCGGGTAATCTCCGGCTCTCCGGGGAGAAAGGGCACTTTCCCTGCCCGGGGCCGAGGGGAGGGCGGCCCGGCGAGCCCCTCCTGCCCGGAGCGTGGCTCGGGACCGGATCCATCCCTTGTTTCAGCGGCAGGGACGCCCCCAGCCCCCGGCCTGGGGGATCTGGGGCCCGGCTTGGGGATTTATGGCCATTTTTCCCTACCAGGGTGGGGGCAGAAAGTCTTTAATTACGCGGGGGATAATTAAAGCTCCGGCGCGGGGGGGATGATCCGGAATCCCGGGGCCATCCCCGCATCCCGGGGGTGTTAAAGCCGCTTCACCCCTTGGCAACCCCGGCTCGCTCCACCCCGGAGCTTTTCCTGCCGGAGCCCGGGGTTAATGAGCTTAAGGAGCCCGGGGCTCACGGCCGG